ATCTGATAACGTTAGATGGTTAAAATGGCCAATATCAGTAGGATTTGGTAATGCTAGAAGCTTAGTGAAGAAATCTAAATTTGAAATATTGCCATTTGGGGAAAAAGAAGAAGAGGTGGATGGTATTTCCTCTAAAATTTCGTTGGTCGATAAAGAAGGTGAGAAATTAGATAATGTTTCATGTGCAATAGTGCTGACTGAAAAAGACGGTGGACATGATGGTATTTCATGTGGAATAATGTTGATGGGAGAAGATGGTGAGGAACTTGATGGCATATCGTGTACAACATTGGATGAAAATGAATTTGAAGGACTAGGTTTTTCAATTTCCAGATTTTTGGTAAAGAACTTTGTAACTGACGGTAACAATTTAGTTTTTCTCTCTTCCTCTGCTTTGCGTTTTCTTTTACTCGCTCCACTTTCAAATCTTTTTTTCGAATCATTCATTTTTAATAAGATTTTAAAATTCAAATTGTACACTAAAAATATAACAATATAATACTTAAAACAATATATTTTTCTTTCTATATTTATTAATTTAAATTATATTTTAAATCAATGTTGGCCCAACAGATAAAAACAATGATAAATATTTAGCGGTTGAATGGGTTAATATAATAATTAACATAATAATAATATGTAGTGGTGGCTTGATGGAGGTATAAAAATATTAAATGCGAATCAAGGAAAATAGTCAAGCCTCCATTAAAAATATGAATAAAATGAATAATATATTATAATAAGTGACAATCACGTCCACGACAATATAAATATATAATATAACGTGACGATTTGCGAACACGGTATAATAATAAGATTGTCGATACTCGATATGGGATTTCGTGTTCACGAAATATTTAAGAAAAGTAATATGGCAACTCACGTGATTGTACTAACTACTTATCATCAAATTTTAAATTATAAGGTTATTTAATTTTCTTTAAAATTTAATATATTATGTAGATGAAATATATTAATATGTTCAAAACCATTAGTTTTAATAATGAATATTAAATTTCTAGTATTTACGTGACACCAATGACCACAATGATTGTATACGAATCACAATTTAATGTTGTCTTTCAATGCAAAATAATTGTAAAACTACTTACCTAAGTAACTTGTTGTTTCTGACACCAAACACCGTCAAACACCCAATAACACCACTCTCATATTAAAATCGTTAGAATGAAATGAAAAAAATAATTTCTTTCTTGAGCCGTAGATCGTAGTATATAATCTATTTCTATAATTTAGTATACCAGCTATTATAGGCTCCACTCCTATAGTTACCGCGTATCGCCGCCGCATGCCCGCATATCGCGATAAGACATGACAATATTATTTTACTCGTATATTATTATTAAACACATTAATTATTTTATTCTATGGTGTATCCGTATTCCGTATACACATTTAGTAATCACTTATCAGTAAACTTTGTATTATTTTAGTATTCAATGATTTTATTTATTTGAACCGAAATTTTTTTTAAAAAGTACATTTTGCTGCGAGGCCCCTTTCACGATGAGGCCCGCGGAAAATCCCGCCTTCAATCATATGTAGTTCCGCCACTGTATATCGCTTTTACATGTGCTTGAACCAACACCCTTTCATTATTGTACCGCGTGATTAACGATTGCCATGCTACGGTATAATTATTAGATGTTGTTTCCAAACATTTTATCGAACTCAATGCCTCACCTGATAACGATTCGCGTAAATAAAAGAACTTTTCTATCGCCGTTAACGACACATTGTTATCTATTAGTGCCGAAAATATATCGTAAAACGATGCCCATTCTTGATAATTACCGGTAAATTCCGGTACGCTCAACGACGACAACTTTACCGTCGACAATGCTTTATTCATACACGCATTAGGTATATCGATGTCCGAATTTTTATTTCTACTCTCGTCTTGAGATACAGTTGAGCCTGCTGCTATCATGATTTTCTCTGCTGCAGCAATAGTTTTAAAGTATAAGTCTTCAAATTCCATTCTATACTTGTTTTGTACATCGAGACTGATCCCCTCTTCCATTTCTATGGCCGCTTGAACCTGTTCATATTCTGCCCATGACTCTTCTATTTTTTCTCGCCGCGCTTTTACCTCAGTCGAATCAACACTTTGCGATTGTAGATAATTTGAAAATCTTGTTATCGACGCTTTCAATTGTCCTCTTCTCGTTATCATGTTCTCTTGTCCCCCCATCTTCGAGACCAATGTTCAACTATGTGATCTAAGAGATAGATAGAGAGGGAGAGAGAAAGAGAGAGACTATACTGTACTATGACCTTATACTTATCTGTACTATAAAATATATACTCGGCCACTCGGGTGAAACCGCCTAGGATTAATTTAGGAATAAAATGGAAAACGCCTTACCTTATATTCCCGTGGGTGAACTTTACTTCTGTGGACGAACTTTACTTCTGTGGACTGTATTTTCGCACGATCTTTCACATTTTTCGCTGATCAATACACTTATGGCCCTTTTTTTTTTTTTTTTTATCGGTAACTGATTGACCCAATAACGCTTGATCGAATATTAATAATACTTAATTCGCACTAATTCACGACTTACGATTTGAATCCGGCCCGAAGGACCAATGATTACGATAGCTCATTGCTTAATTTAATAAAACAATAACATTGAATTAATATTATTTCTCTTTATTCGCTAGTTCATAATCGAATATTAATATTGAACGGCTACGACGCGTACGTTACACTGGTACGGTTTTATTGCGACTGCGACGGCCGATCGCCCGTCATCGAAGACCGCTCTATCGGACGTATCTTATCTTACATTTATACTCTATACAAATAATCGTTTCGGTATCTACCAATTTTATTATATAAGTAAAATATCTCGCGTACGCAACAACAACTTCAAATCTGTTACATTTAGTTTGTAGAATCATTAAACCATATGTTGGCGGAAAAAAAATCAAGAACAAATAAATTTTAACTGGTATAACGATAGGAAAGGGTTTTGAATATGATGTTTCTATTTCATAGAGTTTAAAGCAGAGATATTTAATTTTGACCGTCCAAACCGCACCTATAATTTCATGTGAACGACGAACTCCTCGTTGACACAAAAAAAAAAACCGACTTTGTTGATTTTTTTTTTCATATAGGTCGTATATTGACACTTGTAGATTGCTATTTGTCGTAAATTTTACTTTATATTGTATTTTTCGGTTTAAGTATTTCCGAGACAACTTCAAATCTGTTACGTTTAGTTTGTAGAATCATCAAACTATATGTTGGCGGAAAAAAAATCAAGAATAAATAAATTTTAACTGGTATAACGATAGAAGAGGAGGTTGAACGTGACGCTTCTATTTCGTAGAGTTTAAAGCAGAGAGATTGAATTTTGACCGTCCAAACCGCGCATATAATTTCAAACGAGCGACGAACTGTTCGTTGACACAAAAAAAAATTTTTCACAAATTAAATCGAACAATTTTTTGTAGGACCTAGGTAGCTACTTTTCCTAGTATTGTAATTTTAAACAGCGTTATGAATTAATTGGATATATTATATTTACATAGGATACGTCCACACCAGAAGTGACTAGGTACAGTGAAACCTGACTTAACGGATACCTGTCTATAACGGACTTCTCTTTTAGCGGACAAAATTGCCAGGTCCCGACAAAAAGATATTCATTCTAATGTATTTCGACCTACCTATAACGGAATCCTTCTATTACGGACACGGACACTAATTCCAACAATGTCGTAAAGGACAAAAATACATACATACTAGTATACTACCATTGATTATAAATACTATATATACCTATATATATTTTACCTTTATAATCAATGCTCCGTACATAGTACACACATACAGCCGTACGGGTACGACATAGCTAATGTTCGTATAATATTTCGCTATAATATATGTTGGTAGGTACCGATACGTACCGTTGCGATCTTCGTCGACGATAAACAGACGGTTTCCCGGAGTAAAAATTATTTAGCTAAAGATATTTAATTAATTGATTTAATTTAAACTTAAGACGAAAACTAAAATCGATATCGAATTGTTCATAAATGATAAATATATATATTATTATAATGACATTATTATTATTTGACAAGGAATAAAGAATAAAGAATTAAAGGAATAAAAAAAAGTTTTCAATAAAATAATATTCAATAGTAAAAAAATGTATTTAAAATACCGTTCAAATATTTTAAAAATAATAGTATTTTAAAGAGTATTCAATACGGAAAATAGTATTTGAATACTTATACTCAAATAGTTTGCAACACTGATACTGATACAGGTAAATATATTTAAAATGTTCTCATGTATATATTATATTAATTTAATATAATTATTTTTATAGATTCACTAGTGTATAATATTGATACTGAAGATATTTTTGCTGACTTGGCTGCTAATCATAAATTGTTGGACCTGATGGATACTGCTAACCTGCCCAGTACCCATCCGTGTTATAGCAGATATAGGGCAGATATTAGCTGACACCCTCGAATGAAACAAAACGCCCGGGGTACATCAGAAGAATATATTGTATATTTGTATGACATTCAACAATTCAGGCAATGGTCGGATCGGCAAGCTGCCGAGGAAATCTTGGTGGGCCACTCAAAATATGGGCCAGATATGAGTGTTAAGTGGTAACTTTTTCTTTTTATTTTAATGAGAAATGAGTACAAACATGAGTATAGAAATATATAATTTAATGAAACTCAGTGGGCCGATACCATGACTATCCTGTTACACCGTCACCGACTCGAGAATGGACGAAAACGCAACACGACAGTAGTACACCACTAAACCATGGTATACGGTATATGGGATGCGTGGACGGATTATTTGTCATTGCATAACAACGGAGTGCAAGAACACAGCGATACGGAACGCAAACAAACGTGACATACCACATACAAGCTGATAAAATGTATAAATTCGACAGTAAGTCAGTAACAATCAAGGCGGAATGTGCTACAACAAAATACGAATGCATATTGATATTTAAGATGACACTTACGGCTAAGGCGGACATGTAACAAAAACGGACATAAACCGTCAGTGTAATTAATAAAATAATACGTGATGCTATAAAAAAACGACTGTCGCGACATAGCGACATGGCTGACACTTAGACGCACACTTGGTCAAGGCAGAAGACGGGATATGACATGTCAATATATTAATATTATGTAGATGTCGCTCATAATGACATCTTGGCCAGGTGCAACGGCGGGTTCGTTTAGTTCCAATCCGCGATGACGGGTGTATCACCAGTTGAAGTCACAATGATGCACTACAATGCCTGCGGTGAAATCACGACTTTCCAACTTGATTTTTGTCGGGCCTGCATATTTCAGCTCATTAAAAACTATTGATTCATCCAGTTGGCGGAGGACAGTGACCGGATCTACATAGTACATCATAATATTATAACTATTATTAAAGTTAAGATGTGCATCTTCGGGCCATCCTCTTGTAGGGCTGTCGTCCGACATTTCTACCTCCATAATATTATGTACCTACATGGCTACAAATCGATACCTGATATTTGACAACATATATGTGCATTGACCATTGATTAAGTTTTTATTTTGAACAATCAACCAACGTGTTCTTGTATGATTTCATGAACAACAACAATGATTGTAGTTCTTTAGTTGTGATTTTTCCTTATGATTATATAATGTTCAAAGTTTCCTCCCGAAAATATTCCATTAAAAAAATTCTTTCTGTTTTAATACCTTTTATGGGTAATTCATAGTTATATCTATGATTTATTTGTGTTGTTGATCGCCGATATAGCTCCTACAAATTCGGCGGTTGGCTATAACGACTTGCGGCGTTAGGGATTCGGGTCACCAAATGAATACACAATATTTATAAATACAATTAACAACGTATGTGTGTGTACACTCATACAAATATAATAATAATAATATATTAACGTCGTTGCGTGATTATATATAATACACAAAAAAAGCTCTACCTAGCGGGCGCCCCAATATATAGATTTAAGAATACTGAATAATACACAATAATAATAATACAATTTCAGACCAATATGGCCGAGCAGACAAAATATAAATATATAGTTACAATGATTAATTGAATACCAATCAATGTTACAACCTGACGGCTGACTGCAGCGACATTCGCACGTCTCCACTCCGACGAGCTATAATATCCAACCAGACTGAATGGCAATAGGTGACGGCAACAGGTGGTACACTTCCCAGGCAGACAGGTCACTGGACAGGAAGTTCCAGGGCTGATGGCGAAATATGTGTTTGAGTGACCGTGGCTCCAGCACAGCGCACGCGGTACACGACCGTGCGATCTCCGCAGAGAGTGATACGTACTAGTATATATGTATACTATTTGTATATATACAAGATATCCTGCGACCGATCACCAGGTGGCACGTGGTAGCAATTATAATAGTAGAACAAAACACGTTGGCCAAAAGGACCAAGCACACTGGCGTAACAGGCGGGAGCTGAGGAGATGGTTCGTCAGTCTCAACCGCGGAAAACAGACAACACCGGCCGGCGACTCTGTCTTAGCTCGCGACGAGTTGTCTGCCGATGTAGGAGGGGTGGGATGCTCGGTGAACTTCGACGCCGACGGCACGATAGCACCCGCCGATAATATCGGCGCGACGTGAAGTTGTTCCGATGTTCGAACATGTTTAACATTACATTTTTATATATTATATATAATTGCCAAGTAGTTTAATTTATTTATCCTTTATTAAATTTAAATAATGCAATTTATGAACAAGAAAATATGTTTCTATCTCAATCGTCTACAATAATTTATAACCATTTTTTGTAATGTTTGATACAGTGAAACCTGTATATAACGGACAGTCACGGGACCAAAATAATTGTCCGTTATAGGCAGGTGTCCGTTGTAGACAGGTTTCAATATTTTAAAAATTAAAATTTTTATGTACATTTGTATTGTTTTATATTTTATAATATGTACAATGTACATATTAGGTATAATCTTTATTAATATTATACATATATGTATTATACATTTATACACATACATTCTACATTCATTAAATTTAAAGGTTTAAGCGGCACGGGAGGTGGCATTGCTAAGGAAAAGATGTACAACTCTGACTGCGACCCGATAGAAACTGAATAAGAACGTTTGATACTCATGATTATCATTTATGCGTATTGTAATTTATATCTGGATATCTTGGACTGTATAAATTCAATAGGCAATTAGCGTTATCGTAATCGGCGATTGTGTATTTGGTCGTAATCCGTGTTTTCACTGAATGACCTAATTGCGTTCCTTATAGACGCTGTTTCATAAACAAAAAGGTAACATAAATGATAAACATAGATTTTGACTGATTACTGATTCTGCTATAAATAAATGAATATGGCTATTGCAATATTGCCTATTAATAAGCACCCATCGAGTTAAATATAGTATATACTACACTGGAGCGCGCACTAGTCGTCAAAAAACGAGCCGGCTCGTTGATTCACTTCCCCCACCATTGCATGGCAAAAGGACTGGATGGCACAAGGCAGTGCGTTACGCCGTTGCACAATTTCGATTATTTCATGGCGTCGAATTCTGTTTACTGGTTAGATTCTTGCTTTATTGTAAATTCAATCAAACTTATTTTATCATGGTAATTTCGTGTTCTTCATATGGGTGTACAAACCGGCGGAAAAAAGGATGTGGTATACAATTTCACTGGTATGTAAAAACATAGGTAACTTTAGTCATTTTTGTACCGATTATTCTAATATAAATAGCCTTAATATTATACAAGATAAACGTTACTGTCTGATGAGTTTAATAAAATTATTTTGTTTACCTGGTTTAGCTTTCCTCTAAAGAGGCGATCCTTTTTGGCAAAGTGGATACATGAAATGAAACGCAAAAACTTCAAACCTTCTGAGTATAGCTATTTATGCAGCAAACACTTCACAAATGAAGACTATCAAATCCGTCCAGGAGCAACTGTGAAATGGTTAAAAGATGAGGCTGTTCCATCTGTATTTAAAGAGTTTCCTCAACATTTACAGAAGAAAAAAGTTGTTTGCCGGTTGTTACAAAGAAACCCATTGGTAAGTTTAATAATTTTACATCATATAATCTTAACCATTTACCAATTTCATAAATTGTTATTACCTATTTTTAATTGATAGTATGCAATATACTTAGATCCTGCAGACTACACAGTGACAAATGTTGCCATTATATTTTTTAACAACATTAAATGTTATATACAAATTGTGCATATAGGTAGGTTTACATACCTACAAAGTACAAACTTTTCATCACTGTACATTATCTAATTTTAAGACATACACTTTTACCCAGTGACATAAAAATTTCTAGATATGCAACTTTTTTAAGTATGTATGCACACATTTTAGACTTCCCCATCATTCAACCATTCGAAGCTGGATGAGCACTATGGAATGTGAGTCTGGGTTTTTGGAAGAAGTCTTCAAATTTTTAAAACTTGAAGTAACTCAAAAGACTTGGTTACAAGACTGTTTGTTGGTTTTTGATTCTATGTCGATCAGAAAACAATTAATTTGGGAACCTGATAAAAGCAAATAGGTATGCTGGAAATGTAGAATTTAGTGTTGGTGAAAGTACAGAGCTTGCTACTGAAGTTTTAGTTATTATGGTTGTTTGCTTAACTAAACAGTTTAAACGCCCAATTGTTTTTTTTTATGTGAATAAGATAAATAGTAGTGTATTCAGTACATTATTATCTACAGCTATTGTAAAACTGCATGAGGTAGGCATTCAGGTCTGGAATGTTACGTGTGATGGTGTTTCTGCTAATATACAATGTTCAAAAAGTTGGGCTGTAGTTTTGATGTAGACAACTTGAATACAAAATTCACTATAGATAAGTTTATAGAAGTATATTCTATGTTTGACACTTGCCACATGCTTAAGCTTGCTCGTTCTTCTTTAGCTGGCAAACAAATTATTCAGTCAAAAAATGGTGATATAAAATGGTCATATTTATGCTCTTTGAACTCTTTTCAAAATGAATTAGGATTAAAATTTGCAAATAAGCTAACTGCACAACATATTAATTACAGAAATCCTAAAATATTATTAATTATTTTATTTAAAATTTTTATGAATATTTCCAGATTTGATAGAAGTGATATTGATTTCATGTGTCAATATCAAACAATTATGGGGCCAATTTCAATAAGCTTGGATTTACTCCAAGGTGATACTAACATGTCTTTGGTCATCTCCTACTTACAATTGAAGGATTAATTTATGAATATGAATTAATGACAAGTGATCAAACAGTTTCTAATTATATGAAACTTCTGGTGACTGCCATACTTCTTGGTATGTAATAATTGATATTTTTTAAATACATTAATCTTATTTTGCCAAGTACTTAAATTGTACACATTTAATTTCTTTCCATTTTAGCTGTTTTTGGATTACTTTATTGGTAAATACTATTTACTAAGTAGTAAATATATAGTATCTCTTAGTTCTAACAGTCTTACTGATGTATAATGTAACATATTAATCAGCTGATCTATTATTTATATTTGTATTTCTGTGTAATGCCTACATTTATATACTCATGAGCCAAAATAAACAAACTTTATTGATAATAATTTTTGTTTTTTAGGTTTGAAAACAAGGTTTGCTGATTATTTGATGGACAAATTTTTAATTACTGCTGCAGTCTGCCACCCACTATTTAAAAAATCATGGATTAAAAATGATAAAAAAAAATAATTGGCCCCAGAATATAAAGTGCTTGTTATGACTTACATACCAGTGATAATGACAATAGTGATGTAGAAGATAACCAAATGAAAGATAATTTATCTTCCTTTTTTACCTGGTTACAAAATTCCTGAGATTAAAAATCAACAGTTACTGATGAAATAGATAGATATTTGAGCTTATCTCCGACAAAGACTTTAGAATGTTTGCATAATTTACCCACTATCAAAAAAGTAAGATTAGTTGAAAACTTCTTATACTATTACTAGTAATATTACAAAAACATTTGTACTTAAATTTCAGGTATTTGTAAAGTACAACACTCCACTACTACTTACTAGCAGTGAATCAGTAGAGAGAGTGTATAGTGTTGGTGATGCAACAATTCAAGAAAAGAACAAATATGACGAATCAATATTTTGAACAAATAATGTTCTTAAGATGCAACACTCAAATGTTCGATTATTATAATACATTATGAATGATTCAGAATTAAATTGGTTTTTTTGTTTTGTATTTGAAAATTATTTCAAATACTTTACCATACATAGTATATCTGTGTTATTTTAAATACTTTATTTTATAAGTATTTAAGTAATTACTGTAAATACTGATTCAGTAAACATAAACCTAATCATGTTCCCATATAGTGTCTGCATCACATTATAGTGATAGTCATACATTTTTGTCTTGGAAACATTGAGCACACAAAATCCTAAATAAAATATAATAAATGTGTTAGTAAATGTTTAACATAAAAATGTCAAGTATATTTACCAATATAGATAGGTTTATCAAATTTAATAATCTTTTTCTCTAGATCGACTGCGTTATCACTGTAATTGGTACAGCGTTTAAAAGTGGACTTATAAATTAACTTCTGGTATAACCCAATGTAGGTAAACAAGGAAGAAAATAATAATTAAAAAAAAGAACACAATATACTATGTAATATAATGTAGGTTTTTTTATTTGTTAAAATTCTATGAATTTCCTTTTGAAGACTATAAAATTAATATAGAATTTTGTGGTTTTCAGTTCAAATGGGTCTTCTGTTCATTTTTATACCAATTTTTTAGAGCCATGGCCAGCACATGAACAATATTCTTGGGGATTTAGTTTTAGGAGACAAATTCCGGATACCATATATGATAATATTTGAATGAAGAAAAGTGTTAAGCTGAAGATTTTGCTTAAATATCATTAAAATATAATGTATCTGCTGTTCAAAAATTAACACTGTTTTGTAATGGTGTTAAGTTAATGTATTAGATGGTGCTGATCCAATACAGCTAAATAAAAGAATCCAAGCACTGCAAGTACTTTTAAATTTACCAATGGCTAAAAATTAATATGTAGAAATATTTTATTTATTGTTTATTTACTTGTTTAGCTAAATAAAGGTAGCAAAAATAAAAATAAAAAAAACATTGATGATTTATACTTATTAACTTACATTTATATCAAAGTCAATTACTGTTTTTGATAAAATATATGCTACCAATAGAGTTTTGGTTTTATTTTCTTTAAGCCAAGTATTCAAATGACATCTGTTTATTTTTTTTGGAAATATTTGTCTTCAAGTTAGATAAAGGTATTCATCTCATTAACAACAATTAACTTCAGCTACTCGAGACAGTTGATGTACAAAAACTTCCTACTTTATAAAACTAACTTATACAATAATCCCACAAATAAATAAATAAATATTACAAATAAAACATTTTTAAAAAAATAACAAACAAATTTTGTATTATTTTGAACTTAATATTTTTATATTATAATTAAGTTAATTGCAATTTTTCTTATTCATAGATA